TGAACTCGTCGAGAATACCGTGATCAACTGTCTGAGCTGAATCCTGGTATATTGGATTACAAACTCGTAAACTATCCAGCATTATTCTTCAATTAAGATATTCAGCGGTGAATAGGATTACCTGTCTAATCTCAGAATGAAACGAATATGCTATTACATAATGAGGACAAGGCTCATCATTTTATTTAGCTTTTTACCATTATTAGAACTGAATGATTAGCGTCCTAATGCATCTGCGGGTTATCGTGATAGAAATAAAATTTTATCATTTCTGAAGACCGATTGAATTTCATCTCGACTGCTAATTAAGTAAGCTGGAGTATAATATCGAAGTAATTGCACGTTACCTTTGTTTTGTACAACTACGACATACTGGCTAATTTGTAAGTAGGAAGCGCTTAGTAGCGCTGGCGTAACGGCAATCTTCCGACGACTTTCAAGCGTTCTGGCGCGCCTTATCGGCCTTATCAATCGTTAATCAGTTCTGGCACCCCCACCAAACAAATGTCCCCGCCCCACCCAGCATAACATTTGTAAATATGGTTGCTCTGGTGTACAACGCGAGCCCTAGCAATCGGAATCGAACGACTTTGGCGTTCAAGCGCATCTTTATCACGCTTATCAATAGCTCTCGCTTCCAAGTCATTACCACTAATGTCCCGGGACCGCGCCCCACAATAGATTGTAAGTATAGAAAGCCTCTACGTACCAAATATGAACGACAAAACGAAATTGGCCGATGCTCGCTTTCTATGCCCCTCTTATCACTAATACAGTCGTTATCAGTTCCTAATCACGTAACACTGTTGTCCCCATCCTACCCTATAACATACGTAAAACGCACTGCGCTATCATTACTTGTGACTCGAGCTATGAATTTCCGGTCAAACACACACACACACACCAAACAGACACACGCTAGCCGCTTATATATAGTTGTAGGATTGGAGCTATAGTAATGGAAGTTCGCCAAGCGACGTGTCTAAGGCCATTGGAGAGCGAGTTTCACTTCATCTGATTCCTTTTCTTAGTGGCCTGAAAGTCATTGACGCTAGTTGTTTCAGTGAAAAACACATATTTCCCATCCTACCAGTATATAGGCGGCTAGCGTGGTGTCTGATTGCGTGTGTATGTTTGAACGGCAAATTCATAGCCTCGAGTCCGACGTAGCGCGTGCATAAAGTTGGGATGGGGAGGGGACACAATGGACCTCGGATAGGAACTGATAACGACTGAAATCAGCGGATAAGAGGGCTAGAAAGCGAGCACGCCAATTTGTTTTGCCGTGCATAGTAGTAAGAGGAGAGCGTCTACATTTGACAAGTCCTATGTGGGGCGGGTCTCTCCCGAACAATTGGTGGTACAGATTGGAAGCGATAGCAACTGATAATGCGCTGAATAAATGCGCTATGAACGCAAAAGTTCGTCGATTCCATTGCCTGGTCGCCTTTGACACCAGAGGCAACCAGACTTAAAGTGTTATGTGGGGTTGGACGATGGGACATTGTTGTTGGTGCAAAAACTGAATAACGATTGATAGGACCGATAAGGCGCGTAGCAACGCTGAAGCGTCGATATCCGTTGGCCCTGCTTAGCCTTGACACACAAGCACCATACTAACAAGTGTTATGTGGGTGGGAACGGCGGACACTCGTTGCGGAGGTGCCAAACCGACTAAAGATTGATCAGGGCTGAAAAGGGTGCGTCAGGACCGCAAAAGTCGTTAAGTTTTGTTACGGCAGCGTGACACTTACAGCTTCCTACTTACAAATTGTAGTAAGTCGTAGAGTACAAACAAAGTACGTGCACATTATTCCGATATATATGTCCAGCTTATTTAATAGAATTCGACTGCATAAATTTTAAAAAACAAGTCTTCAGCGAATGATAAGTTTCATTTCTGACTATCAAGAAAATCCGATCTCATTTAACCTAACCCTTTCATGGTTCTAGGTAATGATGAATGTAAATGAATGATAAGCATTAGTTCCTCACTTATGTAAATAGGCATATTTTGTTTTGATTTTGAGACTAGCATCAATCCTATTCACCGCTAAATTATCTTGATTCAATAAAAATGGTGGATGTTTACAGTTGTGAGATGATGCCAGTTCAGCTCAGACGTTATCACGCGTATTCTTCGACGAAACTTCAGTGAAACTGTGGAGGGTCTAACACAATCAATAGTGAGATGGTTAATGGAGGGCCTCATGCTGATATTCCATGGGTCCTCCAATTTCGCTAAAGCCTGCCGTGATGCGCGCGATGGCGGGCGAAGCAAAACTGGTACATATATATTCCCATATTCCCATACGTTCGCTCCTATTATGCGTTTTTTATCAAAATGTTTACCTTAGGGAAAAGAAAACGAGGAGCGAACTAAACAGACATATCCTTATGGTCTAAAAATCCTCTGCCAAACTAAGGACTATTTAGCCTTTCTGTGAGCCATGTGGTTTCCAAGTATGCTAATGTATGACCTACAGAGTGAATACGAAGACCTTGGGAGTAAGTCGCGCAAGCGCAAGAAAAGGGAAGACTCGACATCGGGACGCGTTACAGCGTCCCGATGTCCCACGAGGTGCGCAAAGTGGGACCCGTTACCCCGTCACGTCGTCAACGTGTTAACAGGATTGGCTGAATATTGGATGAAGGAGAGTTATGCGAGCAAGCGTGTTTCAAAGAGGGTTTAGCACGGTCGACCATGTCCACGAGCTCATCGAAGTATCGCGAGAGCACAAGATGCCGCTTTGACTCTCATCGACTAGGAGAAGGCCTTTGACTGTGCGCAGACAGAAGCGCATTATGCCTTGGGCAACCATGGCTTCCTTCAGTGCATGAAGATTCCTCGTGAGTTTTATGACAGTTTTACAATCAGAATCTCATCAATCTACAAGAAGGTCATCATTAACGTGAAGACAGGGGTCCGACTGGGTGACAAACTCGCCCAATCCCTTCAGCACCCTTTTGCGTCATGCGTCAACTGGGATGGAAAGATAGGGGAGTGAAGGTCGACGGCCGGCAACTGCGCCACCTTGGATTTGCTGAACATCCGAATAATAACGCCGAATATCGAGCAAGCACAACGAATGCTGGCTGACTTCTGCGCCTTTGGTAAGGCCAGTCTATAGCTAAGCCTAACGAAGACGATCAAAGTGATCGGCTCCCAATGCTCCATTCACACTCTGCGGAATGAACATCACCGAATGCTCCAGCTACGTATAACTAGGTCGGGAAATCATGATGAACGATCTAGCTCCAGAAGAAGGAGAAACGAGCGGTATGCGGAGAATGCGAAGATGGCAAAGATCCAGATGAGTTCTTTTAGTGATGGGCATCCCTTGTAATGAGCAGATGCGTCGAAGACTATGCGGACCTTTGTGGTTGATTTATTAGGTGCTATCACTGCTTGTGCGAGATAATGTCTTTAAAGTCGGCTTGTCTTCTGGTATACCTTCAAGGATGTTCATTTGCACTTGCTCTCGGAAAGCTGCATCATAACGATGGAGGAAACCTTCACATAATAACCGTCACTTCTGTGTTCGATAGTAAGATTGAAGTTGCCCCAAACTTCTTTGTCTTGTCGGACTTTTTCTTTCTTTTCTTCGTTTCCAAATTCGTGGATGCCTGTCGATTCTAGTTTCCAGTATTTCTCCCATTTAAGCTCGTAATCCATGCCTTCTGGAGTTCTCACGTCTTTTTGAACAATGCTAACTTGTGGTCCTAACGCCCAGTACTTGTGCCACTGAGTGAGTTCTTCATGCTCACTACTGAGACGTCTTTTATTGTGGTTTCAACTGTCCTGCAAGAATATTACGTATCGTGGTTGCTGAAACATGAAAACCTGATGGGAGTTGAAGATGCGGACAGTTGGCTTCATAAAATTGCCATGCTTGGCCAGATCCCAGGATAATGCTTTGTTTCGCTTGTTGGTTCGCATCCATCTTTATTTGTGGCTGCAGATTGAGTAATCGAAGAGCTTCTTCTTCTTCTGACAGAGGTGGAACCGAAACAAAAATATTTCATGAATATGTCACTTGTTAGCAGATCCAACATGTGAAGCTGCCCGTCGTTGTCCCATGGTGGTAATTGAACTCACAAAAACTGTGACTGCATCTTCTGTGCTTTCTCGGACCCGAAAGTGTAACAGCTCAATGGCTTTTCTTCGGTTGTCGGTAAACTTAGCTTGTTTGCTAAGTTGGTTTCAATGAAGAACATTTCTGCTCCGGTGTCGATCAGCACTTGAATTTTTTTAAGATTCATTGCATTCGGGTAGACTATGGGGAATTTGCCAATGGGGAGGAACGCTTTCCGAGACATTGAACCATCATTTCTTGAAGGCTGTACACCCACAAAAAATAGTAAATTGGTCGGACCGGCCAATTGTAATGTGGGCTAGTCCGGACTCAAATCTGCTTTCGGTTTTTGCCGAACGGTTCTCTAAACGGAGTTACGAGGGATTCCTCTCACTCTGGTTATCTCACTGTGGCGCCTCTACATTCACTGTCCCACTCTGCTCGCATAAGAAGAGCCGCAGAGCAGCCAGTGCAGAGGATATTGTGGTCTAGCGGATAGCGCTCGTGCTTCATAGAGGTGATGTCACATGATCGAATCCTTGTCGGTTCCAAACCTCTGCGTTTTTTTCAAAGCTGCTCATACTAGCCCAGAAAGCGTTTATAATCGGTTACTCGGTTATGCGTTCGGTTTGTTCGTTCTGTTTTTACGCAAGCCAGGTGAGATAGGGGACGTGGAGGGCGCCACAGTGAGAAGAATTCCTTGTAACTTCGTTCAGAGAATCCCTCGGCAAAAACCGAAAAAGAATTTGAGCTCAGCGTTGCAAGGCTCGTGCGTCGGGCTACACCTCATTCTAAATGGTAGGACCGACCAATTGACCATAACTTATCAGAATGCTTCCCTCGCTGTGCGTTCGTTGCTCCTCAACTTCGTCACGGACTTGGCTTGTACTCTCGTCCGCACTATTTATATTGACTCTAGTTTCAATCCTCGTTTTTTTCACCTCTTTTTTCGGCCCTTTGTGAATTTTCCCCTCTTTCCTGATGAGAATTAGTTCCACTGACAAGTGTTGATGATGTCGTTGAATTTACTGCGACCATGAAGCAGCACGATGTGTGATGTGGTGAAAACACGGTTGCCTGTGGCAATCTGCTGTTACATGGTGCGCTGATGCGCATAGCTGGCACAAGTTCTCTTCTCGTAGGTATTGTGCGCGTTCTTGCGAAATCTTGAATTTTCCGCACTGGGCTGGTTTGTGGTCTCCTTTACAGTACATGCATGGTAGTATTCGGTTTTGCGGAGTCCTCTTCTTTAGTGCGGGTTGTTCATTTCGGGTGCCGCAGTCTTTGCTGGCTGCTCTAAATGGATTCGAATCATTTGTTCCCGCCTTCCATTAAGTCAAACAGACATTGCATCGAAAGTGGTTGAAGATGTGAGGGGACTGATCGCTTCCTCATGAAGACTTTCCGCTGAAATTCTTCAGGGAATTTTGATAAGATATTTTTCATCATCCATTGGTTGTCATCTTGTTCGCCTTTCTGCCTCGCTTGCTGAATGATGACTTGAATTTGTTCGAAAAGCAAACCTCGATCCCTTATTGACTCTGTAAGTGGCTATTTTCCAATTTGCTGATGAGCATCTGTATCAGTTCCTCCTTTAAATCGTATCAGTTATGCAGGAAAGTTATGGCTTCGGAGTGATTTTCCTGAGTGACATAAAACTTATGAATGGATTCCTTGGTTTCTCTTTGAAACGCGTCCAAAAGATAGTTGAATTTGTAGAGTTCTGGGAGATCCTGTGAGTGCACATTTGCATCGTATAATTCCCAGAAGTTGCCCCAGTCCCGAATATTTGAATTGGATTTTGTTAAGGGTGAGGTAGGAAGTTCCGCAGGCTGGGGCTTGCGAAGTTGCGCCTGCGTCCCAGATCAAGATTGCGGTACTGTCACTTGAGGCTTACTTATGCCATCCCAGGATTTGATCGCCCTGATTCTGGTTTGCAGAAGCATCATGTATTCGACTGCTGTGGCGATACTGTCTCCGGCTTGAATGGAGTAAGTTTTTTTTGTCGTCGGGCTCACTCCCCGTAGAGTAGCTGTCTCTCAGAGTGAGGAACTATAATAATAGTGCCTCCAATTGTCCTACCGGAGTGCCAATAGCTTCCATCGCCTCTTCGAGTCGACGCAAATTTTTCATACTAACTTTCTGTGCTTCCTCATAAAGTTCGGCGCGGAGTGATTCCAGGGTCAATCCCTTTTCCTTTATCACGTGCTCTAATTTGTTTCCGTACCGGGTCAGGAGCCTTTAAGTTGTGGTTATCTGGGCGTTCATCTTTTTTTGGTTTCTTTAATAATTTGACAAGTTGGTTGAAGGATTCGAAATATTGCTTAATGGAAAGTTTCGACTTGATAACAATTAGGAAATTTTGAAAGCTCGACTAAGCACTTCAAATTTCCGACCTGACTTCCTTATCAAACTGACGATGCACCATATCGGAACTTATGGGGCCTTCCTCGCCTTATGGACGTATCCAGCCACGCGGTTTACTTCGTAACTTGAAACCCTGAACAAAATCCGACTTGAGCCGACTTGAATTGGCCTCAGTGGAGGACAATGTGAGTGAAAGATTCACTTAGACCGACTTGAGACGATTAACTGCTCCCTACTAGGCTGGAGACAGCGATGCCAACTGGAGGCTTGAACGGGTTCACAATAATTCCTTTCTACTTGAGTTGTCAAGATGGCTTCACTTGAGCTCGCGATAAGAAACAAAGCCACTCGAATGTTAATTGAGTTAAGCGAACACAGCGGATTAAGTGAGAAGACCGGGGCTTGAGCCCAGCCGATGCCCGAGACGAAAATGTGACAGTATCGGTCTAGTGCACATGTGATTGTCTTTGGCTATAGCTACCTCGATCCCGCCAGATCATCATGTAGATCAATATCCATCCGGTCAAAGGCTAAACGACTAAATTATTGAACAAAAAAATTAATATCCACATAAAAGGATAAATAAACACAAAAAAGGCGAAAACAAGATCGCATCCGCGCACATAGTCAAATTTGTTATTTTGATGCTTCTATTTCGGAGCTGATAAGTCTGCCAAAAATGAAAGTAATGCTAACATATATAGATACGGAGACGAAGGGTGTGAAACGGTTTCCCCATAAAACTATATAATCTTGCGAATGAATTCGCTGTTGAAATTTGCAGAGAAGATGCAGGTTTGCAAGACTGACATTATTTTCCGGATAACCTAATACAGGTGGGGCAAGGGGTGACAAAATTATTGTTGGCCAATAGAACCAGAAAGGTCGAAAACACCAAAAACATACCAAAAACAGCGAGATATGACCACATTCTCCCAAGAAGTTGCTGACGTTCCCGATTGAAAAAGAATGCCTGCGAACTTGGCAAATTTCTTCAAACCTACCCTAAAGAAGATCCGCATAACATCCTTCGAAGCTCACCTCATACTTTTTTGAGAGCTGCTTTAAACCACCCATTCAAATGTGGTGTTTCGCGCACTTCTTCAGCTTCATCCTCGACTACAGTAAATGAAATGTTATTGTCAAGTCACAGATTTCGGCTGGCTGTGCAAACCAAAGTCGGGCAGATGGGCTCTGCAGTAGACTTTCACAAAGTTCGAGCCAGGAGCTGGCATAGCACCTTGCTGCTTAATGCAATCGCTGTGAGCAGTGAAGGTCACTCTAAAATGCTACATTGGATAGCATTTGGCTCGGTACTTCTTCACACACACAAGCAAAAACCAACTAAGATGAAGAAATCGCGGTCACTCATACGTATTTAGTTCCTGCGATCTAGGAGGTTGTGTTTGATTTGCTTTTCTTGTGCTCGACTAGTTCCTCAGGAACTCCCAGCAATCACTTACGAATTCTGAAGGCATGATCTATGATGGTTCAAAATACCAGAGGCTTTCCCGTCGGTGCTCATGTGGGCTCTCTCGTGACCCGGCCCTCGCCCAAGCTCTCCATATCGCAAGAAGTTTGTCCTTGCAGCACTCACAAACCTGTTTTCGAATTTGCTATGCTGAATTTTTTGCATCGTCTTTCCATATACTTTCAGAGTCGTGGCCAGTTAAATCGCGGTTTTCTCTGAATGTGGTAGATACGCTTTTTGACAATACTCACAGCCACACTTTGGATTTAGTCACCGATCGACCTATATGAGAAAGAGCATCATGTGTTCTGCAAACAGGAATCGTATGAAGTCTTCGAGATGCATCCTTCAGATATGACAGATCTCGGAATGAATTCACTTGGGCAGCGCGTGGGACTAGAAATCCACTCGTTTTCAATTAGTTGGAGCCATTCCTCAAATAAAAATTGTGAATTCATGATACTTTAGTATTACCTTTAAATGACAATGGCAGACTTGATGCTAATGTCAGAATCTCTGCTCATAGCGGAGCAACTGCCCTCGTCGAAGTTCCTCTTGTCATCATTTATGCTCCACCCTGTGAATTCTAAAGAGTCGCTGTCCGCAATCGTCATCTCTGCGTGCTGTGATAACCTATACTCTTGACTTTTGAGAACATACTGAACAAGGTGTATGATGTACATGCAATCAGCATGGCAGAACGCCCATCAACAATGCCACGCTCAGTTGGCCAATCTACTATGTCATGAAGGACATACTTTGATGCATTATTGCCTAGAGAAACTGATTTGATAGGAACGCTGCAGATTGTGACAAAACTGTTGCGCAAGTGATGATGGTCATGAGTGGGGATAATCACAGGTATACTAGTGATGCTCAATAGAGCCACCAATCATGGAACCGAAGCAATATACGGCAAGCTGCAAGCTAAGATATGAAGAAGAGCTAACAGGGCGACAGTGGCGTATTATCTAATTTCATATGAAGCGCTATCTGCACTGAATACCCGACCTGACCAGTTCTGATATTTTCACTCTACACCGAGAAGGGCTCATGTTGTTGGCGGTTCAGCATCCAGCGAGTAGTGATGTGCAACGAGACATTTTTTGGCACATTAACAACACCAGAGTAATCTACGTGGGAGAAGTTAGGGCTGCTGCCTCAGCAGCTGTCCGGGAAAAAAGCACTGATTCCAGCATAAAGTTAAACTACTTTGACCCTAGCTGACAGGCCAATTTTCAATTTTCATTGATCCTCATAATTCTAATTTTTTCTTTTGACGAGAATCGACTCTGCGGCTAATTGGATGTAATACCTAGGAAATCCACGAAATTTGCCAACACGCTCTGACGACGATGTATGCAGCAAACTAGCACACTTCGATCGACGAACTGGAAGTTGTGTATGCAACGACCCTAAAAGTGACGCTAAATTCGAAGAGCCTGAAAAATACAAAGACTTCCCAAGCGTGAGTTTTGCATCAGAGCGAGTTTGGAGCTATGCACATTAGAAAAGATTTCCTTCCATAGATCCGCAGGCATTTAAGCAACCACTAAACATTGAAAAGTATCGCCTTCCGGGACCACAGGCTTCATTCCCAAAGCACCAAATGATGCCGCGAAGGTCACCCTATATTGGACTTTTGTAACAACCTGATGGGCTATGGAAATTACCAAATAGGAGTGGTTTTTTACTTAAAACGAGCAAGCAATCATAGGCGAGTGGGAATGCCAGCAACAGAGGGGTACACAACGAAAGGCCCGTCGCACGGGTATATGGCACGGATCAGCGGTCGTCGCAGCGCGCGCTGTGTCGATTTAGGGTCAGGTTGAACATTGTCCAATTCCACGTTCAAAACAGGATGTAGCAATCAATTCAGTTTTAGGGCATGATATGCATGTCGTGCACTTCTTACGAAGTACAAAGAACTGTTGTATTTCTTCTCGACGATTCAGGATCAATCCAAGACAGTGAATGGGATCAAGTACGTGATAAACTACTCAACAAATGAG